TAGGACCTAAGCTCAATCTTCCTCTCCTCCCCTTAGGCCTGTCTTGGGCAGAGAGGACCCTGACCTCAGGGCACGCAGGTGCTGTCGTCTTCCCTCCCTTGTCACCTGGCTCTCCCCTCCACACCTGGAGTGAAAGCAGAAGGGTTAGCTCCTCCAGGGTGCTGTCCACCACTTCTTCCACCTACTCCCATCAGGGACCTGCCCGGAGTCCCATGAATCTTGGTTTCCGTCTTTATCACAGCTCTCATCACTTTGTTTTATAATTATTATCTCCTTACGGCTAAGCTTCCTCCTGCTACAACCATGAGCTCCTGAAGGAAGCATAACTTTTCGATCCCTGAACTCTTGGTGCTTTGTGGAGTTAGTGAGTGAGTGGATGCACCCATGCCTCTTGTGGACCTGGAATTCTTCCTCTTTATTTTGTGGGAAATGGTGTTCTTCCTAAGTTGGCCTCACCCCGGCCCTTACCCTGTGTTCCTAGCATCTTTCCTTCCCGCCTTACCTTTTCTCCTCCTGCTGATAGAACCCTTTCTTCTGCCTCCTATTCCTCCCTGGTTTACTTATCAGAGACTTAGGCTCAGGCCATTGTCATACTTGATTTCCTAATAACTTCAGGAGGTAAAGATGCGTACGGGTATGATTGAAATATGTGGTGCATGTTTAAATAAAAATTATTATAGTAAAAAACACATTAATATAATCCTTGTTTTGAACTCATCCCATCATTCTTGCCACTTTCTGAAGCAGTTCTGAAAGTCTTTTTATGTGAGTGATTCTTTAAGGTGTGATCAAATGTTGTGAATTCTGCTCCTGAGTGCCATTCAGTTGAAAGCCAGGCTCATAAGAACATTATAGTGCGTTGTCCGTCATTCACCTTATTCATTGCATGTGGAACTCTGCAACCTCTGGCTCTGCCCTGAAGTCAAAATGACCCTGAAATGTAAAGGTTATAAAGTGATTCAGGCATGAGGTTGCCCCTACAGTGCAACTAAAGACATTCATGAAAGAGGACTTCCAGATCGGCTTCAGAAAGTGGCAAGAAAATGAGATAAGTATTTGAAGCAAGGGGGAGTATTTTGAGTGGGATTAGTGGCAATGTATATTTTACTGTAATACATTTTTTAAAAATTTAAACATTAACTATATTTTTCAATCATACCTTGGATATTATACCCATTTAGGGGAGGCATGAATGGACCCTTAAGTGCAGTAAATTTTCTAATGTTACCCAGCTGGTGAGTGGCAGAGCTGGGCTTTGAACACAGATCTGTGGTCCTTCTTATAAGCCCTGTTGCTTCTCAGTAAAACTTTGGTAAATAAGATGATGTTTTTCTTGCTAACCAAGCCATGGGATGAATTGCTTTATATAAATTAGAAATGGATCCTCAATTTACTTGTTCTTATAACTTGGACTTTCCTGGCTGATTTAATTGGATGTTCATTGGCTATAAAACTGAGTGAATTTCATTTCAAAACAAACAAAAACTGATTCTCTAAACCTTATTTAGTTTTTCTAACTACAAGCTAACTTCAGTGTAATCTGTGTCACTGGTTAATTTCTTCTGTGAAGTTAGGTTTTAGTGTTTGAAAGTATGGAATGGACGTTTTCCTCTTATTCCACTAAAAAGGAAAAACAAATTATCTTTTAGGCCAAATCTAGTAAGGGACAATTGGCCAAATACTACAATTAAATGATTAAATGGTAGAAAATATTTTTCTAGGCATGTTGGGTGTGGCAGGAATGTGCTCACATCTTGTCACTTATTCATTTGATTGGTTATTTTTATCACTAGGCTTCATCTCTTCCTCCTCCCACTTTCCTATAGTGGACCATAACCTCTCTGAGCTCATTAAATGAATATAGCTGTATTAGAAATAGAGAGGAAACTTCTGTATTGAATTTGAGTCAGTGCTTAAATATGGGAGTTCCCCCTGTAATTTTGTTAACATTTTTTCCTTTTACAATGAAAGGTAATGAAATCCTCCTTAAATTTTTTTCCATCCATGTCATTTTTGTGTTTTGTGCATGGACATTAAAAGAAATGAAAACTTGACATCATCAGTGGGCATTTTTAGTATTGTGTCCTGATACTTATCCTTTAAAAATAAAGACATGTTTGGGGATAATGATTAGTATGTAAGGAATTTAGAAAAGGAAGAAGCAGTTTTGGTTTAAAGGAATTGATTTTGGGCATTTTAGTTTCGATAATGTTAGTGTGTTTCTGGAGTTTTTTCCCCTAACAAATGTACTATGAGGTAACATTACTATTTTAGTGGCTATTATTACTATTAAAGTTCACTGAAGTAACATATATAGTAGTTCAAGAAACTGACTTATTATTTCCTTTACATTTAAAAAAGTGTAATTTTATCACATCTTCTGAGGGATTATTAATATATTTTTGCATTTAATTAACATTACTTAAAGTTTAGGCCAAATTTGAATGTCAAGGTTCAAAATCAATTTGCAAAATGTTCAGGATGAATAAGGCACCTGAACAAGATTGTAGATAGTCTTACCTCCTGTCCCCAGAATACCCAAGGGCTTATGGGGAGAAGTGAAGTTGACAGGTAAAACTTGAAGTGAAAGTTGCTGGAGTATGTTTCTAGGTGGTGCCTGCTCTGATTCAGATGAACTCACGTTCGTGGGGTCCACTGGGGTGCTGTACTTGATAGCCTGCACGTACTCTGCATATTGTCTGCATTGGCATCAGTTTGGGTCCTCATGAGTCTGGAAGGGCTTGATCATTTTGTATCCCTGAGCGAGGCCTTGGAGTCTATCTGGGCTCAGTCTCTGCTGCTGAGAACTGCAGGTGTGGTAGCACCAGGTACTTTGCAGGTTCAGTGCTTATGTCAGCAGACTTTGTAAACATTGTAAGGTCTGTTTCGAACTTATGAATCCAGCCCTTCTACCTCCTCCTCCTGTCAGTGAAACCCTAGCTATGAAAGTGTGTTTTCACTGTCCTTTCACTTGCAAACCTCACCAGTCCCTCCCTACACCTTTGCTGAGTCTGTGGAAAGAAAAATAAACTATTGCATTATTTTTTATTCAACCCCAAATCCTCGTAAGTCCAGTGACTGATTCTTTCTATAAAAAACTATGATTTGAGAAACAAGATAAATACTGTCTTTAAATATGGAATAGATGTATGGCTAAGATGGCTTTTCCTACCATAGAGATCTGTGTTCGCTGGTTTTTGGTGATTGTCATAGACCTAGATCTTATTTCTTTTGTCTTTTTAGTCCACCATATATGGCACAGGCGTCTTTGCTCTTTTCTGTCCAGTGACATTCATTTTCTTCTCACTTCTCTACCCTCAATAGAACTCCTCAAAAATATAAACAGTTTTACACTGAGGTATAAATAGATCTGATAAGTTTCCATACATTATGCAATCTGGAAATATTTTATTAGGTGACAAAAGAATACATCTATAATTGTGGATTTGTAGGAGTGATCTAAAGAGAAAGATATATATGAGACAGAACTCAAAGTATAGTTTCACCATGGCTTCTGGCAGGGATCAGTTTATACCCACCTATCACTTTTGGAATCTAAAATTCTCCAATATGCCAAGACCAAGAAGAGATTTATAGTCTAATTTGAACTCTTGGTACTGTAGAGTAGTGGTTTTCACTAAGGCTAGGCACTGGAATCACAGTAGATGCTTTCCCAGGCCTCACCTTAGACTTAAAGAATAGACTCCTCAGGCATGAGACTTGGCCACCTGCATTTTTCAAAGCTACCAAGTCATTGTGCTATTCATTCAAGGCTGATAGGAGGAAGCTATCATGTCACTAATAAAAATATATAGAATCTTAATCTAAGTTAAATTCATTGTGGGTTTTGAGATTGTTTTACTGTACTCTATGACTTCACTGTTTACGAACAGTGGTGAATCAACATTATTTAGGTCACACAGCTGTCAGGTTTTTTTTTTCATGCAGAAAATTGTACTGTCACCTTCCTAAAAGATAAGATATGGAGAACTTGGAGAAGGTCTGGAGATTACCCAGAATTTGTAACTTTTCTATGGGGAGAAACTGAACACAGCATAGTGTTTAATGTTGGAAATCTTTCAAACGATCATTTATGGAGAATTAAAGATTAGCCTGGAAGGTTAGCATATGTTTGAGGCTACACACTGCAAAGGAAATAACATAGCTCTTTTACCGAATCCTATATCATGAGCCTTCAGTGTCAGCCTGCTGGCGCTCTGAGGTTGTTGTCAGGACTGTTAGAAGCATGGCTTTCTGATCTGTTACTGAGCCCTGTATTAACAAGTCATTAGAGCCTCTCTTCACCTATTAATTTTATTAATTTGGATTTAAATGGAGGTAATGCTTGTATGTAACAGCTTGTGACGTCCTTGAAAGAAAGGAACGGTTCCCAGAGTTTGTCTTGTTTCTTTACTAACTTGTGATTTCAGTTTTGAAATAAAACCATAGGTATACTTTAATTTTATTCAGATGTACAGATGGTGGGTTTTCTCCAAGAAACTTAAAATAGAGTAAAAGCTCTATTTGTCCTCATCCCTGAAATCCATTTGCTTTGTCTTGTTTGGAGTCATTATATGCAATGCGCAGGAATATAAAGTCACTGCTTTCTGGTATCCAGCATCTGCCTGTGTGCAGTTCACTTAATCCAGTTTAGGATCAGAGGCTGTAAATGTAAAGGGAAATGAAACAGAAGGGAAAAACTGCATTTCCATTTTCATTTTAAGTCTGCATGGGTTGATGTTGGAGCTCCCCAAAGATCATGCCATTTTGATTTGTCACTGTGTTGGGACCACCAGCCTCCTTGCATTTTGGGCTGTCTTGCTGAAGTGCAGTGCTCTGTGACCCAGTGCATTTTATTAAGAGGGCTTGAGAAGGGGGAGTGGAGAAGGCTGATTTAAACCGTGCAATTCCAGCTGAAACCGAGTTTTCCGTGAAGTTTGTGAAAGGGATTGCATTTTCATTGTGACTTATGCAAACTTATTTACTTCTTACTCTTTAAGATCCAGCAGTGGGAGCAGAATCTGGAGAAATTTCACATGGATTTGTTCAGGATGCGCTGCTACCTGGCCAGCTTACAGGGTGGGGAGTTACCGAACCCCAAGAGCCTGCTTGCTGCCACCAGCCGCCCCTCTAAGCTGGCCCTTGGCCGGTTGGGCATCTTGTCTGTTTCTTCGTTCCATGCTCTGGTAAGTTCCAAGGGAGGCTGTCAGAACAGCCTCCAGAGAAGATTGACATGGTTGCTCCCCTTTCTCTAGCTTGGTGTCATCAGCTCTGCCTGTGCTCACCCCAATAACTGAAAGGGGTCACCCAGAGGCTAGAGGATGTGGATGGGGAGGGGAGGAGACTGCAAAGAGTTCCCAGATGTTTCTCTACTACTGGTTCTGGGAATCTAGCTACTAGTTGGCAGTTACTACATATTCAGGTGGGTGTCTGCCTTCCTGCCTTTCCCTCCTCATAACATTAGTCATGGTGTTTCTGAGGAATTGCAACAGTGCTATGAAGATTGAAAAGCTGATTGAAGGGTGTGATCGAACCCATACTCCAGAAAGCCTCTTTGCGTGTTCTGAAATCACTCCTGGGTTGGTGGCTTCTATGTCTTGAACCAGCTCAGCCTGGGAGGTCTGTAGGTTGTTTTGCTGACCCTGTTGGCTACTGTAGTGAATCTGAATGTTGTAGCTGGGTTTGTGCTCCTAGATAAGAGATGTCTATTTGGTGGGCACATTTCAGGTATATCAAACATGCAGGAGCCTTTGACCCTGATCAAAATGTATGTATAGCAAGCAGAGCTTATTTTGGTTAGGGCAACTGTTAATTCTGTCACCCACAAAATACACTTTAAGATTTTTTAAACTGTGTTTTAAATTAGGTATGTTCTAGAGATGACTCCGCTCTCCGAAAAAGAACACTTTCCCTGACCCAGCAAGGGAGGAGCAAGAAGGGCATATTTTCTTCCTTAAAAGGGCTGGACACCCTGGCGAGGAAAGGGAAGGAGAAAAGAGCTTCCATCACTCAGGTGAGTGCTCAGCATGGGAGGTACGGCCTGGAGTGACCTCCTCGAAACCAATTCTTTTCTGCCTGCTGCAAACCAGTGAAGTTCATCCTTTAAGGGTGGAGTGAAAGTTGTCCAGGAATCAAAGCAGTCCAACCTTAGCATAACCTTTTGCCTCCAGATGAAGTACACAAGTTGGTCTGACTGCTCTGGCATGCCCAAAGAGGCACGTATACCTTTAGCAGCACTTAGGAACACAAAAAATAAGAATTTTTAGAAAGTAACTTACACCTTTAATTACTTTAGTACTGATATTTATTTTCCCATATCAATTATATTAAAATGAATGTGGGAAACTAATAATCATCACCTGATAAGAAAATGACACTGGAGCCAAACCTTACCCTTGTTCACCAGCACCTGAGCTGCAAGTCTGGGATGCTCACCTGCCCGAGTCCAAGGCACTGGACAATTGCTGCTGCTTATTTTCCCTTGAGAGGGTAATGGCTTTTTCAGGATTTTGTCAAGAAAAAACCAGTCTGATCATTCGTTGCTAAAATAGGACGCAAGTACAGTGAATTCTGTTCAGAACATTTTGAAAATGCACATCTGAAGTATTTCATAATGCTTCACAATATAGTTTATATTAATGAATTTTATCTTACTGATTTATTTATATTAGGATTATTAATTTTTCAAACTTGAAAAGATAAAGTTAGATGATCTGAACATATAGGTGAACAGGGAAAATGCCATTAAGTCCAAAGAAGTTCTTATATTTATTTTCAGCAGGTTGCTATTCTGAATATGCCTTCAGTGTTATCTGAGAAAGTCATATTTCTCAAACATTATTTTCTAATTTGTATATGGCTATTTAATTGTGTAAAACATTTTTATGAATTAGATGACTAAAGAGACTAGTATCAATGTCTTTGGCCTGTTGAAACAATAAAGTTAGAGGTAGTGGGGAGTGGGTTGGATGAAAGTAGGAAAGTGTGAAACTTTTATTTGTTTTGATTTGTTTTGTTTGAGACAAGATTTCACTTTGCAGTTAGTTAGATTGGCCTTGAACTCACCATGTAGCCCAGGCTGGCCTCGAACTCATGTTAATCCTCCTCCCTCAGCTTTCTGAGTGCTGGGATTCCAAGCACGTGTCACCATGCCTGGCTCTGCATGAAACTTCTTTTATGTGGCCACTGTTTTTGTATATGCCTATACAGAAAGAATAGCACATTTTCAAGTTATAGTACATGCATTTTAATTTAGTTGTAAACAGTAATCATCTGTTGGTTATGAATAGAAACATTTTTGTTATAGATTGTAGCCAACTGTAAATGATTGGGTAATGCTGAGCCTTTGCTTTCTGAATTGAACTATAGGATGTTTAAGGTCTTTAACCAATTCTGACTTTAATCAAGATAGCCAATTCAGTGTAATTGAGTGAAAAATTGATAAATAACTTGATAATTTGCTTATTTTTCTTAGGTGTAGACAGTTAGCTAATTACCTAGCATATGTGGTAAATGTTCGCAACAGAAGATTTCTTGATAAACAAAAGCATTTGGTTGAACACTTTTTGTTTTAAAAGATGTGAAACCAATTACAGTGTTAGTATTTATATAACTGAGTAAAATTGATTTAGTGGGTATTCCTAAATGCTTAAAGGTCTTAAATGTTAATATTCTATAAAATTTACAAGATAAAATTTGGAAAATGATTCCTAATTTCTCCAAACACAACTAGTTTTAACGTTTAGCTATCTTTTCTTCCAAAATTTATTCTGTACACATTAAAAGTAATTATAAGCTTGACTTTGGTGACTTTGCCAACTCTGAGATCTGTTCAGCATCTTCAGAAACCAGTCTGAAAGGCTGCTTGGTTAAAAGCAGCATCAAGAAGATTCAGAATGATTTGAATAATAAATGACATCATAAAAATGTAAAATATGTTAACTATATGAAGAAAGAAGGAAAGCAACTTTTTCTTCAAATTTTTATGGTACAGTATTAGTATAAATTATGAAATAAAGGTTTTATGAAATGTAACAATTTTTTAATACTGAAAAAGGTTGGATGCCAAATGAACATTGCAGTCATTTCGTTAGTCTTTTTCCCCCCGTATCTGTCAGATATTTGATTCCAGTGGCAGCCATGGATTTTCTGGAACTCAGTTACTTCAAATCTCCACTAACTCCAGTGAGGTAAATTTGACTGTAGGCGGCAGCCATCTTGTTTTACATTGGTGACACAATGCTCAGTTAAAGAATGCTGATTCAGAATCTTTAATTGAAAGTAAATTTAGTCAAAATGGTCTCTATTAGATAAACTAAGAGATATTGTCTGAATGCCAAGTAGTTTTGGAGGTATTTAAACTTATAATGGCATCTTAAAATTAGTGACATGACTGAAGTCATAATAGTTTCTTTTATTTATACTTCCCTGTTCCTGAGCAGCACTTACCTTCATCTGAAGTTGAGTGAGTCGCAAATTGTATTTTCCTCTCATGAGTCACTCTTGGGGTGCATTCTGTGGTGTGTATGAGGAACTTTTGTATTTCTAGGGCACTCTTGGTGTCCATCCTCAGGGGAGCTGAACAGTGTCTCTTTTTAGTCTTCATAATTGCTTCTGACAGAACAGATCTTCAGAACTGTTTCTAAGTGAAGTTCTGGGGCTCAGGTGAAGATGGTTTGGATGTTCTTATACCTTTTCTTAGAGCCTGTTTGGAACTCACTCCTTTCCCTTAAAGCTGTGCTTCATGTTTTTGATGTATTTCTCTAAATACTGCCCCTCATCATTTTGTCTTCAGTTTTGCATCTAAGAAGCCTCTGAGCTCTTTTTTGAAGTTGAGAAGTCAATCCTAGTAGGCTTGGGCAAACTTAATATGCTTTCATAGAAGTTGGCAATGTTCTTTAATTAATAGATTAGGAATTTCATTTGAAAATAATGAGGACTAGTGGAGTGCCAGACCCTTGACAGGGTGGAAGGGACAAGACTAAGGAACTTTCCAGTGATCCTGAAATATATAGCACAGACAGCCACATATCCTGCCTCCAGGTGAGGCTGACACCCACCAGCTCAGTGTGCCACCATCGTTGAAACTGCTCCTGGATAGCAGCTCAGCCTGAGTTGTCCTGCTTCCTGTAGGACAAGCCCCGAACGGGTTAGGAAATCTGCCCCAAACCATGCTTCTCATCAGCCCCCATCCCCAGGGTTCAGGGCAGCCAAAGAGCATGCATGAAATGTGATAGAGTAGCTTGTCCCACCACGCTGTGTCTCTGAAGTCACATGTTTTGTGCTCCCCTTTTGCTGACTTGACCATGGCGGCAGGGTGGTGTGGAGGGTTAGGAAGCCAAATCAAGATCTTCCTTTCTAGAAAGCATGACCTCAGATCTGCAGATTTTTCATAATAAATAACCCTCCCCCAACCCCTTTGTTCCTGTACACCTGTGGAAGCTACTCAAAGTCCAGGTGTGTCACACCATCCTCCAAGGACCTGGCTCGATTGTATCGGTGGATCTCAAGTCAGTTATTTTCTTGGTTCTTATTGTATCCTGCCTTTTACTGTTTGCCATCCTACCATGTGTGTGTCGTGTTCCCCAGGAAATCTTGTAAGCAGGACCTGGGTCTGGACAGTCTGAATATCCTCAGGTGATGTGTGTATTCCAAATCTATAACACACTGTCAAGAGCATAATATTCGCTTAGTAATTTTACTACTTAATTGTTTATATTAGATGTTGTCCCTTCCTGGTTGAAAAGAACCATCGGATCTCTATGATTGAGAAGAACTGTTTCACCTACAATGAAAGCCCAGAATTTTATGGTTGTTTTTTCAAGGGCAGTATGTAAATATCAGAGATTCTTACTTTAAAGGTTAAGAAATGATACTATCAGAACATTTGTTGTTAGCAGAACTTAACAGTGGACTTTGACAATAAATTGTGTTTATTCAAATTGGGTTCAAGTTAACACATCATCTTGCAATTTAATTGACAAATTTCACCTGAGCTATAAGGAATGAGAGGAAACTGTTACTGCATCTGTTTCATAAAGCAACTGTATCCATATAGTTATTCTTCTTTGTTTTGACTAAGCATCACTTGTGGTGTAGGGATTGTGAAGATGCTTCCTTTGTTTATGGGACATAAACTTATAATGATATCTTAATGTTTTAGTGCTGCCTCTGTACCACAGAACTCAGTGTACTAGGTTAAAATTGAACTTTAGCTAAAACTGAAAGTGTCATTTATTTATTTTTTTATATTTTGGAACTTCTGCCTGTAGCTGGTTGAATAATATTTCACTAGTTTTCCTCTGCTAATCACTCATGAAGAATATTTATAACCGGCACAAACCATCTATTTTTATACAGTAAGTACATTCTGTCCATTTGAGTAGCCAGAAAGGCCGTTGTGAGAGAGATCGGGGTGCATTTTTAAATATTCCACTTTAATTGGTTCATCATATAACAGCCCAGCAGTGAGTCACCCTAATTTGAAATCTGTTAAGTCTGGAATAGAGCCAGTCTTATTTGAGTGATTTTTTTTTTTAAAGGACACCTTGGCTAGCCAAAAATGAAAGCTTTTCATAGCTGCCTCCTTGATGAGTAATAATGAGCCTCACACAGAGTTTGGCGGGAGGCGTTTGTTTCGGAGATTGTGACAACAAACCCTGGAGAAGGCTCAGGATGGCAGCTGCCTCAGAAGCTCCACTGCAGACCTCCTGGCAGCTCCTGGGCCTTGGCCCTCTGTCCTGGAAAACTGGCTTAGGGTGTCCTGACTTTCTGTGGCAGCGAGTGAATGAAGTATTGTCACCTTAGTTATTAGCTACAAACGGGAAAAAAAATACCTTTATGCTGGTTTCTCAAGTGGAAAATGTGAATGAAACAACTAGCTCTTAACCACAGCATGGTCTCTTTAAACAGCATGCTCGTGTGGAACTCTGCATGGCCTGCATACAGGTACAGTTTATGTGTGTGGATATCTGTGCGCGTGCGGACGCGCACACACACACACACACACACACACACAGAAAAGCTGGCTAGCTGGGTCTTTGTCTTCCCTTCATACAGCTGATGTTAGGGCATTAGCCCAAGAAGGAAGTAAAGACTTTCTCCTCTATGACATTTTACTGATAAGAAAACCAAGAGTGGATAACTCCTTTTGTGTTGTCTCCTCATCTCACTTGCTAATAGACTCTCCTTTTATCAGCAACTGTGGTGATGTGGGCCTATTTTTGACAGCCAGATTGTGATTTTGCTACTCACTTCCCTTCAGTGATCCAAGTAGTAATTATGAGCCATTTGATCCGAAAGCATCTGCTGTGAGAACACCCAGAGTTTCCATTTTCTCTCCATGCAGCATACCAAGCATAAGTAATTTGACATGTGGTTCCAGGACCATTAATGTAATAATGACAGTAATAAATGCTTCTGTAGTAGTTGCCCTACAAGGACAGCTAACGCAATTTGCAAATGTTGACTGGTTGGTGTGTTGTGGCTGTGGCTGTGGTTTATGGATGCTCCTGCTTTGCGGGTGCGCAGAGGGAGAGAGACTGTGAGGTGGTCTGGCCTCAGCAGCCCCCAAGGTGCCCCAGGCTTGGAGGTGAGAGGTGATTCTTAGCAGTTCTCGCAGTGGCCGCTGCTGAACTGTGCAGATTATGCCTAGGAGAGGACAGTGTCGCTACCCAGGCTGATCTTCAGAAAATCTTTGCAGCTTATGGTTTTGAAATGCCATTCTTCACATCTGTCTCCAGGCTTCCCTATGAGGCTGCTGTTTTGAGTCTTTTTAAAGGTGCAGAAATGGAAGTGCAGAAATAGTGGGTAACCAGGCTGGCCAAGCCTAATAAGGCAAGTACTGGACCCAGGTTTTCTTACCGGTATTTTATTTTTGCTGCCTCCATTTGTATTTTCTAGGGACTAGAAACCTTGAGTAAGCAATAGGATCCTTTTTGGAGGCATGGAGTTCGGGTAAGGTGGGGTGGAAGAGGAGGCAGGGTATGTTTGCAGCAATCTTGACAAAAGTAAACTGTGGAATTCTAGATGAATGGTTACAAAGATTAATTTAACATTTCACCTTTGGAAAGGATATACTGGGAGAAGAATTCTTGAGATGGGCCAGTTTTTTGTGTTTATTTTCAAAATTCTCTGTTCCTTTTTATGAAAAGAGTGTAGTAGAATATTTTATCTGGTTTATTGAAATTAAAACATATATTTTCTGATTGAATTATATTGAATTTCTGCTTGAATTTTCTTGAGGGAATCAAACCAGCTTTTTCTCCAAAGGACAAAGCTTACAATAGCCTAAGAGATCTATAAGCACCAAAAAAAATGTTTCCCTATTCTAATTAATTCCACATTCTTAATGCTTTTTTGTGATAGCTAGGTTTTACTTTTCTTGAATTGTGTACATCTGTGGAATGTGTGTGTTTCAGCAAAATTATATCTAACTTTTCATTGTCCAATGTCCTGAAGAACATCTGGATCTGATGGCCTTGGCTTTGCTAGGCACCTTCTCTTCTGTCATTCACCAGACCTCAGGTCAACAATGTAGACTCAGAAAACAATGCCTCAGAGCAGTTGTAGGTACAAAGTCATGTTTAACTGAATATAGTAGGAATATTTCTTTGTCCTTCCTTCTGTCTCCCTCTTTACCTTCATAGTTTCCTCTTTGCCAGGACTTGTTTCCTTTTAATAGTGAGTTTATTTCTCTTGAAACTTTGGGAGCATGAAGAACCTGACACTGTAAAACCAGAATTGAATTAGAAGCAGATCGATGGCCTTGGCCTTCCAAGATAGATAGGGTGTGAGTTTCTAGTCACCTTCAGGTTGGCACCCATGTGCTGGGTGTTTTCTGGGTTTACCATGTATCACGTGAAGGGCTGAAGGAGGCTAAGATGAGGGAGACAAAGCCTCTGGTGTCCTCTGTATCTCTGGAAGTTGTGGTGGTAGGGACAATTACAACGAACCATCATGGAGGCTGGACTTTGCTTGACGTTATGCCAGGAACATAGGGAAGTAGGCTCATCTAATTGAGTGGAATTAGAGATGGAATAGTGGGAGGAGGCACTTCATGAGAGAGGGTACAGCATTTGAAGTGAGGCTGAAGGACATCCATGATTTTGGTGGAGCGGGCAGAGGAAGTTGGAGTGGGCATAGGTCTGGGGACAGGAGAGTTCTACTCCAGGGAAATGTCACGTGACCCATTTTGTTCGACTGGAACATGGCGCATAGAGTAGAATGATGGGAAAGAATCTAGAACATTAGGTCATTTCCGTCTTGTGGGGAGTTGACTGCCAGGCTGATTTTCTGTATAGTGTAATGTTGGTGTGTGCAGGCTCAAGCCAGACTTGCAGGGTTAAATTCCCACAGAACCGGAGTCGCTAGTTTTATGAGTTTGAGAAAGTTCCTAGAATTTTCTGCACCTTATTTTTTTGGCTCATAGGAGGGTCATGATGGTGCCTACCTGAGAGGTGTTTGTGAGTTGTTAGTGAACTGGCAGCAGGTCAAGAGTTGATTTTGTTTGGCCTCTTGTAGTGTACAGTATGGAAAGGATGGATTAAGTAGGGCAACAAAGGCTAAGCTGTGGATTTGTATATCATTTTGTGCATTTTCTGCTTGGATAACATTGTCCCTTCTTGAGGGAATCAGTCCAGTTTTTTCTCCAAAAGAGCAAAGCTTATAATAGCCTGTGAGATCTGTAAGCACCACATAGATTTTTATCTGGTTCTAATTAATTAATTCCACATGTGTAATGCGTTTTGTCCTCCACCTGTCCATCCTCAGTCACGCCTTTCCTGTTTTGTTCCCAAAGTGCAGAATCAAATAGTCCTGCAGCAGTGACTGGACTGATTTCCTCTGGCCTTTCTCTTTGTGTGGTTTCTTACTCCATAGTGACCTCTGCTGGGGTTTTAGTTTCAATCTCAAGGAGCATTGTGTAAGAGGTGGGTCCTACACCTTGAAGGCAGCCCCCCCTGTCGCCAGAGCACCTGGTTGAAATCACTGTGCAGTTAAAAGTTGCACCTGGAAAAATGAGCCAGAGAAAACGTGTGACCCATGTGAGACAGGAGCCTTCGAGAGGAGTGGCATTCAGGCTGGTTCCTGGCATCCCTGGCTCTCGGCATCTGCTCCTCTGTCTCTTTCTTGTTGGCACGTGAGAGGACATTCATTCAGGCTGTGATCTTCCTCCTAGGAAAATGTGCTGAAAGTGACAGATCCATGACAGATCCAGAAATGCCACTTCAGAGTTGAGCACCATATTTTCATAAAGATGACACAGAAAGATGGATTCTTCCATTGCTTTGCCCAAGCCTCTTCTTTTGAATTTCTTTATTACATCTATTATAGTTTTTAAGTCTTGTAGAAGAGGATCTTTTGGTTTCTGTTTTTAAAGTGCATGGAATTAAAAGTAAAATCATCCGTCAGTAATAAGTATAATGTATGATGAGTGGTATAAAATAATCTGGTAACATTAAATCTACATGTAATATTTTCTAGTGGATAAGATGTTTTTAAATATGACTCATTTTGTTTACAGAAGTTGTATTGCTGATTAGTAAACGAGTAATATTTATCATACCAATGTCCCATTTTATAGAAAAGGACCTCAGGGTTAGCAAGGTTGATGTCTTCGACTAGATCACACTTCACTGGTTAAGTGGTACAGTCTGTGACATTTTTATTCCAAATCCTAAAATCTTGTTTACTGCCATGCTAATGCAAGAACCTAGCTAGAGGAAAAACACTTTGAGTTGCTTAATAAATGTTAGTTATATTTGTTATAGAGAAAAACATATTAGTTTGAAGTTATCAAATGGTTGTGATGGTGAAATTTAGGGAACTATTTTAGGAAAGACTCCTGAGGGTGGTGTGTTTGGGGAGATTTCCTAACAGAGTGTCTCCATGTGAAATAGCTGAAGATTGGAACATAGATTTCCCCTGGACTGGGAGTTAGTTTAAAAAAACACAAATAGGAATAAGAGAAAAATTTGTGCTTGCTTAAGTTAAGTGCAATTCAGGGTTAGGATGCAGAAAGATTTCAGTGGCCATGGGTGAGAATTCACTGGGAAGTTGGATTGTAGCTGAGATGCAAACTTCACAGTGTCTTCTCACCACAATCCTAGAGCAGTAAGACTGGGTGCCAAGGAGCCCATCCATGGTTGCAGTTTTCTGAGTTAAGTGCAAAATGGTACAGTGAGAGGAAGGCAGGAGGAGCCAGCTGCCTGCACTCACTGGCTCCGGCTCCAGCTCCAGCTCCGTCTGTGTGGGATGAGTGGGGAAACTCATGCAGGTCTGCCCTCAGGGTTGCAAGAGGTCAGTGATGCGTGGGGTGGGGAACAGCTTTCAGTAACTGCTCCGTAAATGAAAGGAACAGCTTTTCAGCAGTTTCCTTCATTTGTTCATCCAACCTGTCTGCATTTTCTTCTGGCATCTAAAAACAGGTTGATGAACTCCTGCATCTATATGGGTCAGCGGTAGATGGTGCTCCCCGAGACAACACCTGGGAAATCCAGACTTACATTCACTTTCAGGATAATCAAGGCGTTACTGTCACAATCAAGCCAGAACACAGAGTGGAAGATATTTTAACTTTGGCATGCAAGGTAATATATATATTTCTGAATAGAAATCACATTGCACTGCTATACCTTCCAATTTTATGTCATGTATAAGACCTCACTTTCTATGCTAGGGGACATGTTAGGTATTCGTTATTTTATTAATTTGAAATCTGTTTTTTGATGCCTTTAAAAGGATGAGTTGTGGGCCGGGGATTTAGCTCAGTGGTTTTGCAGCCTGCCTTGCAAGCGCAAGGACCCGAGTTCGATCCTCGGTACCAAAAAAAAAAAAAAAAGGATGAGTTGTTAGCCCATAATCCTACACTTCCATGAAGAACCTGAATTATCTCCTTCAGGTTTTTTTTGGGGGGGGGTACCAGGGATTGAACTCGGGACCTTGCACTTGCAAGGCAGGTGGCAGGTCGTCCTTAGATTCTACATTCTTTATATCTACAGTGATTATGACGTCTCTTGCTATTTAAGTTACTTGGACCTGGTGCTGTATGTGAATCTGGTATAAACTCTGAAGAGGTTTGATTTAATCCTTAACTGTGGGGCCAGGGGTTTAGCTCAGAGGTTCCGGCACCTGCCTCGCAAGTGCAAGGTCTTGAGTTCGATCCCCAGTACCAAAAAAAAAAGAGAATAATCCTAAGCTGTTTAATCAGGTTTCTCCGGTTAGATAAATAATACAATGCCATTTACAGTTCTTTCATGGAGATTGATATGAGTTGATATTTTTATTCAATATTTAAACTGGACTTCATTGCCAGGATTAAGAGGAAATATATGATAAGTCTTAAAGACAGTTTGGGGAGAGGAGATAACATACATGCAGCAAGTACAGGTCAGAAGCTTTTGCACCGCCAGGTGGCAGAGTAGAGCTTAAATATTGAAGATTCCAGAGAAAAAGTGCACTCATACACATGTAATATGAAAAAGTATGTCCTTGGGTAACGCTTAACCATGTCCACTTAATAGATGTGGATAGTTTCATTTTAGGCCTCCTTGGTTACTTGGACTTGAAGCCTTAGGATAATATATGTGTGTAGCTTGTTTCCTCAGGAACTTAATTGCCTTTTGCTCCAGTATGTATTGGTTTTTATTCAGAAAAGCAACAATGTTGTTCAGTATCAATAATATACACTCATACTGATAAGTTTTCTAAGTATTAAAAGGGTGTCAGAAGTAGTGGGTTGATGAATCCTCGCTGGAACACGGTCCAGAGATAAAGTTCTCACCATTAAAACTGTGATGAGAAAAAGGGTGAAAGAGAAAAAAAGAGGGTATTGAAAACTTGTGGAATGTGAAGTTTCTAATCCTGAAGTCTTTAGGACCTGAGTTTATTCACATTAATATATTCTTATGTGAGTAACGGGAAAGAGCTTCCAGTAAGATGTAACTGGTACATAAAGAGATGTAATTTGCTGAAATGGTGAGATATATTCTGCTGTCAAATATATTCTACCCTAATTTGTTACAAATATATCTCTTGCCATTAGTAATAATGTTTAGAGAAAACTTTCTTGAAGATAATTATTTGTCCCTCCCTTCTTGTACATTTGAATTTGAGCTCTTCTTTAAAGTCAGCAAATTATATTCAGTCTTCTTTTAGAGGAATCTACTTTTGATGAGCCTGTTGAACAAGTGATGAATTTAGAAAGAACACTTAAAATATGAATAATTTTTTTATAGATGAGGCAACTGGAACCCAGTCACTATGGCCTTCAGCTTCGGAAATTAGTTGGTGAAAGCATTGAGTGCTGTATTCCTGCACCATATGAATATGTGCAAGAGCAGGCAAGTGTGCATTGCTTTATTTATTTATATAGTACTTAGTTTGTTTGTTTTTTGAGATAGTCTCTCACTGTGTAGCCCAGGCTGGCCTGGAACTCAAGGCAGTCCTCCTGCCTCAGTCTCCTCGGTGCTGGGATTATAGGTGTGCACCACCACATCCAGCTAGTTCGGAACGATTTTCATCTAAAGTGACTCTTAACAGTTTTCTTATTTTGTTATGAAAAAGTGTCAAAATAATTTTCTGAGATACTGTAATATCAAATCCTCTGTTTTCACCTTTTGTAGGTTTATGATGAAATAGAAATCTTTCCACTGAATATTTATGACGTGCAGCTCACGAAGACTGGGAGTATCTCTGACTTTGGTAAGTGTAAGGAACACCATCAGAAAACCATCTGGTTCATGTTGCCTATTTTACCCTGGTATCTTTGGGCCTAATTTTTTTTTTATATACTTACATTTTCAGAAAATATGATACTAGTTTCTACTTTTTTCTTTTTTCTTTGCTATTATGTTAGCAGACTGGAAAGGTATGTGTCAATATTGGGGAAAATGCCAAAGTCATTAAAATTGCATATTAAAAATTGATGATCAATTTGGAATGATGATTACAGTAATAACTCAGTGAATTTACTGTTTTCCAGGTGCTTTTCTAAGCAGATCAACTCATGATTCCCATGATAGTTGTTTGCATCCCTAGTGTCTTTGTTCTTAGCTTCTTTTACCCACCTGGAATCCTAAGCCCCTTATTTCCTCCCCCATCCTTTCTCTTTGATAATGTAAATCTTATCTCTCCTTCCACAACTAAGTTAAGTTCTAAATTTCTTTAAGAAGCCTATCTGATTGCTTTTATCTCTCTTACCTGAGTTTAACAGTTAGAGGTCAGCACTTCCCAAATTACTTTGTGGTGGTTAATTCTTGCATTTCTTTGGGTCTGCATTTAAACTTGACTCTAAACCCTTTGTAGACTGTGCTCCTATCTTAAAGTTCATTTCTATCTTTTATTGTCTTTTCCTATAGGAAGTCAATAATTGGGTAATGATCAGTGAGTATCTTCATTGAAAGGCTGTTTCTCATCTTGTTAAGAAATATATTGGTACAACCTAATTATTTTCCTTAAAATGGTTCAAGTGTATAATGCTAAAATTTCTTTAAGGTTTGCTGTTTGTTTCTTAATTACATAATCAGTTTTTCCCCAAATGTTAGTTGGATTTCCTTTGACACCCTGTTAACCTTTTGTCTACTTCTCTTGCTTGGCCTGTATTCTCCTTTCTGTGTCTGCCATTGGTGTGTGTTCTTTGTGTTTGAACAGCTTACAAAGGTTCTTTGGGTGACCATAATCCACCAGATTCTGCAAGAGGAACAGAGGACTCATAGGGAAATAGGACCCTCTTATCCTCAGAGAAGCCCCAGCATTCGGGACCCAAAACATGGCAATATCTGCTTCTGGCTGTGGCCTGAGAGAGGAGGGTGTTCTCCAGGCAGGGGAGATGCACTCAGAGCAGGGATACTGGGGCCATGGCATCAATGTTTAGGGCAGTGCTATATCCATCTAGGGTGTTTTTTTTTTAACCTTCTTGAAGTGCTTAGCCTTAAACACAGTTTGTTTTTTGTTTTTTTCTTTTGTTGGTACCAGGGATTGAACTCAGGACCTTGCACTTGCGAGGCAGGTGGTGCCACCACTAAGCTAAATCCCCAGCCCAGACACAGTTGTTTCTCAAAAAACAGTTTTTGTATTGTGGGAAATATATTTCAACAAGATTATCTTTTAGAGATGGATCTTATTGTAAATAGTTTCTCAAAATATTTTTAACTGAATCATGAGCATGAGGAGAGAAAGTTTCTCAGCTGCTAAGAGTTTCCCCACTGTTTACTTCTTTCACTTATAGCTGTATTGCATATAAGATTACAAAATTTAAGGTTTTATTGGTGCCTGTTACCCGAACTATTCTATTGTCTTTACTTTCATCACTGTCTTGGAGGTTCAGTGTGTAAAGGACCGGTAGGGGAAAAGTCCCTCTGGTCATTCAGCACTGTAACCCAGGATTGGGACCATTTCATCTAGTAGTGTGTGGGTCAAGTCTTTGTGCTCTTCCAGACCAAACATTGAAATAGACTCATTCATATAAGTTTCTATAAATCTTGTAAGTGAAATGATAGCCAACTGTTAGCAGTTGCTTTTTAAAAGGTCACTATAAGTACTATATAGTACAGTATTAATTTATAGCAGGAAATCATATCTTGTAAACTGTATATAAAACACTGTTTTATGGTGCAATCATTTGTCAAACTTTTGTCTGGTACATTGTTTTTAAAGTATGCATTCTTCTCATACCTAAGAATACCACTGTAAAATCTGCTAAAATCTATTTTTAGGTTTTATTTGCATAAGATTGAATTAGTTTGAGTTCTACCCCAGTACCTAAAAAACAAAAAACAAAAACCAAAAACTTAAGAAGATTGAATTAGTTTGAAATTTTTTGGAAGCTCCTATTTAACATGCCTGAACATGTGTAAATAGAAAAATCTTCAATTAATTAAACCCAAACATTTCAGTGTGATTCTTTCCAAAGGTAATCCATGTTCTATGTTATTAATGTGTTATGTAATTTTTCTGACTCTTCCACCTCTTATAGACTTACTTTGTTTCATTTGCTTTGCTTTTGAAAGATGTCTTTCTTTTTCTTTTTAATGATCTAGATGACCAAAACACTATTGGTTTTTACCCTTTTGGCTAAAGCTTTGGTATCTCCACTCGATGTTCTAAGAATTCACTGTTTAATCTCTGAAGTGAAATAAATAGTCCTGGTGACAAACAAACTATTGACTTAGGGAAAAAGTATTGAAAACTAACTTTGGATATATTCTTAGCTATTATTTTGCATTGTGGGCTTCATAGGAAGAACATGTTGCATTTATTTTGTCTTTGTTAAAAGACTACTGGCCACAAGTTACACTGATTGTAGTAACTTTTATCAACCCACTTTGATCTTCTTTGAAATATTAAATTTACATTCACAATTCAAAGCAGCTGTCATTCAGAAAATGTTTGAAGGATAAAAATATATGCAGGAAAAATGTGGCCTGTGTAGGGAGAACTTCCTACACAGAAATTTTAGTTGTATCCCCTCAAGAAATTTTAAAGTTTGTGATCAAGGTCTGTATATTATCCTAACTTTATTAAGAATTGTTTTCTAATTGGTTATAACATTTTTCAATTAATAATTTCAAAACAAATTGTTAATATAACTATACAATGTGAATGCAGTTTTCTTCACTTGAATTTTTGTTATTGAGCAGTCTTATCAAAATAGTCTACTAAAGAAACTTAAAAAAAAAGATTACCTTTTGGTCTCACCTTAAAAAAACAGAAGCTTAAATTGTGATAAAATACACATAACATAAAAAGCTTATCATTCTAACCACTTTTAAGTGTACCATTGTGTGGCCTTACATCCATACACATCCATGTACTGCTGTCACTGCTGTCCATCTCTGGAACTTGTCATCGTCACAAACTGAAGCCAGTTGTATCTGTTAAACACTAACTCTCCACTTCCTCCTGCCTGAGCCTCTGACAACCACCATTCTACTCTCTCTGCTAATTTGACAATTCTAGTTACTCATAGAAGTGAAATCATGCAATATTTGTCTTGTGACTGGCTGATTTCACTTAGCATAATGTCTTCAAGTTTCATTCATCATGCAGCATGTGCGAATTTTACTCCTTTTTAAGGCTAAGTAATATTCTGTCATGTGTATGGACCACATTTTGTTTATCCTTTCATCCCTCTTTAGACTGTTGGGTGGTTCCACCTGTTGGCTGTTCCAAATAATGCTGTTATGAACATGAATTTGAAAAAGATTGTGTCCTCTTATATCTTAAACCTTCCATTCTCCATGTTCCTCTTTTTCTACCCCTGCTAGATATCTGTGCTTTCAAAATTGTTGTAATTTAGGGTTTCTCAACATGTACTTTTTAAGAATAGGTGTTCTGGGAAATACTGCTGATTAGGTTGGAGAAATGAGTGAGTGAGGGGAATTTAGACCTGTTTTTTCTTTTCATTCTTAGGCTTTGCAGTCACAGCCCAGGTGGACGAGCACCAGCATCTCAGCCGGATCTTTATAAGTGATGTCCTCCCTGATGGCCTGGCGTATGGGGGAGGTCTGTGTGGCACTGTGTCTCTGTGCTCCTCTTAATCTCTGCCTGTGGACTGCAGTGTGGCTAGTGAAATTTTCTTTTTACAGTTTTGTCAGAAAGTCCTATGTGTGGGCTCCTCTGTGGCACTGGAGGTTGAACCCAGAGCCTTCATATGGAGCTACATGCCCAGCTCTTTTTTTGTGGTTGTTGTGTTTTGTTTGTTAACTTTGAGACAGGGTTCCACTAAGTTCCCTATGCAAGACTCAAACTTGTGACCCTCCTGCCTCAGCACCCCAGAGTGCTGTACTTACAGACGTGAGCCACCACATCTGGCTAAATCCTGGGAGTTTTAAAGAAAGTAAACTTAAGAGTTTAAGTGCAAATGCATATGTATGGAGAAAGTGTGTGTATGTGACAGTCTACCTACGTGTTTATAGAGGGAGGGAGAGAATGTGAAAGACAGACCAGTGCAGACAAAACAAATGTTATTTCCCGGGGCCTTTACATCAGAACACTAGAAGAACAATTAATTAATGCTCACATTGTTTCCTGTTCAATCTAATCCTTCTAATATTAGCTTTGAGAGAGCTTGTATCTTTTTAAAGCTTCTTATGCACCATACGTAGTGTTGAGTGTCTAACGTGGATTATTTTGTTTTGCTCTGCAACAAGGTTTCCCTGTGTAGTTCAGGGTGCCCTTGAACTCCCTAAATCAGGCTGGCCTCGAATTTGTGGGAATCTTCATGTCTCAACCTCCTGACTGCTGGGATTACAGGCATACGCCACCATGCCTGGCTTGTTTTGTTATCAGTGACATCTAACTACACATTATGGTGTGTTCTTTGAGGAAAGTAACAAGGAAATAATCCTGGCAAACACATTGTGTTTGAGCCTGCAGCCTTCTTTCATCCTAAAATTTCTGTCAGTAATCATACATCTTTTCTTTCTGTTTCCTCTTCCTTCATCTCAGGGTTGAGAAAGGGCAATGAAATCATGACCTTAAATGGGGAAGCCGTGTCAGATCTTGACCTTAAGCAGATGGAGGCCCTGTTTTCCGAGAAAAGCGTTGGACTCACTCTCATTGCCTGGCCACTGGACCCAAAAGCAACCCTGTGTGCCTCCTGGTCAGATAGTGACCTGTTCTCCAGGGACCAGAAGGGTCTGCTGCCCTCCCCCAACCAGTCCCAACTGCTGGAGGAATTCCTGGACAACTTGAAAAAGAATCCAGCAAATGGTAAGGCTGCGTATTGTCTTCCTCCTTAGCTGCTGGTATCAGTGGCCAGAGTTCTTAGGCTGCAGTTTTGCTTGCAAACTCAGATTAGTTAACCTGCTCAAAGAATGCATGGTAATTTATTAGGAGAAGAACATAGATGCCAATGGGAGCAGTACACTGCATCAAGGTTCTATGCATTTATTTTATAATTATAGTGACTTCATGAAAAATAGAAAATAGTTATTATTCATTAGAATTGCAGACTGTTTTGCATAAATGCCAAAATGCCAGGATTTTGCTTACTAGCGTGAGTCTAAGGCAAGACCATTTTGTGGTGACCTGTTGGCTCTTGGAGCAACTGGTGCAGTTCAGTTCTTTGTAATGTTTGTCAGGTCCTGCTTTCCTCAAAAAGTAGTGAACTGTGAGAGTAGGTCACGGATTTCAAAACTTTGTGTAGGCCTGAAGCTGAAAAATTGTATGCCAGTATATTTTTCTCGAGGTAAAATTTCTATATGAGGAAGTCAAATGAAGGTTCAAGTTTCTGAGCTTGTCATCCATCCCTGTTTTTGTACATTTCAACCTAGCAAATTGGAGGCTCTGGCTGATGCAAAGACCTTAGTTTCCCTCTGTACTCCAGAGGACACTGGTCACATAGAATCTTTATCCTGGGGGTGCTCAAAGTCATTTATACCTTGCTACAATGATGATGGAGTCCAACTGAGATCTCTGTGTGATTACCAGAAATGAATGCAATACACAAAAGAGATGTTGTTAGGATGAATTTAATTACAAAGGAAGTTTATTAGGTCATTTTTAGAATTAAAAAATCAGATTGTAAGATTTGTGATTCAATAACATATCTGGTTCTTTTTTCCCTTCTCTTAAGTCTTTCTTCCAATTTAAAATATCATTAAATTGACTATTGGCATATGAAAGTGAGTGTCAAAGAACAAAAATTATTATGGAACTAATTAATTAGGGCCATCATTCAGCTACCCTGGGATGGTGTTACAAGTCTGAGTATTCCATAGAATATATGCCTGTGTCCATTTGCTGAATTCATTACTCTTGAGGGATACATTCAGTACTCTGTGTTCTACATCAGTGTATTTTATCATAATAAGAAATCACGAGGGGCCGGGGATTTAGCTCAGTGGTTCCGTCGCCTGCCTCGCAAGCACAAGATCCCGGGTTCGAACCCCGTACCAAAAAACAAAACAAAACAAATCACTGCAGAATATATAGTACTTTTGAGAGTTTCATGAATGAATTCTTATGGACAGCAGCAAAAGGGACAGATTTGCCTTTTTTAAATAGTAAGAATAAAGCAGGTACATTAAGCTTGTTTCTTACTTTTTGCAAGGGAGCAATAAAGAGGCAGTCCTGGGTATGTCAGGCAGCTTTGCTAGTTGCTCATCCCAGGTGGCCATTGTGAGGGTCTGAGCCTTGGTAACTTACTACCTGAGGACCAGATGTCTGTGTGCATGGAGAGCTTAGCTAGTGGCAGTGCTTGTCTACAGCTGTCTTGGTGCTGGTAGCCACTAGTTTTATGGCAGCATGTGTGTCTGCAGGCTTCTTCCCTGGATGGGGCATCCCCACCAGCCAGGTGTAGGCCTCTGGCCCCTTCCATGCTGGGTTCCTGGCAACACTTCTGTGGGGTGGCATTCTCTCAGACATGTACCACCCTACTGCCCGGATTTTACTGCTCGCCCCCTCTACTGAGCTCCAGGGCTGTTGCGTAGTAATGTGCTTCTGTTGGAGACAAAGCAGCCACAGTAGAGTGCTTCTCTATGCTCTTTACAAACGTGGATTTTTTCTTCTGTTTGAGGGTCATTGCATGGCTTGTGAAGAAAGTTAGATCCCTATGAGTGAACATCTCACAAGGAAATCTATCTGTTTTTTTTTTTTTTTTTAGTCCCGGGGATCAAACTTGGGTCCTTGTGCTTGTGTAGCAGGCGACGAAACCAGTGAGCTAAATCCCCGGCCCGGAAATCTATCTATTTTGAAGGTTGGAGGGAAAATGAAATATGATGGTGGGTGAGAAATTCAAAAAGAAAAGACAAGACTGAGCCTTTCATTTGTACATTTTATGTTGTTTCCAAGAGACACTTGGGTTGTGGAGACCCTGAGAAGCAGCTTTGGAAGGAGCACACGGGCTCTAAGTCAGACTTAGGTTCCAATCCTAGGTTGTGCAGCCGTGGGTGGAGCCCTTCAGCCAGTGCTGTGGGCCTTGGAAGATGCTACTGGTCTTCCTTATCCCTTGTGTGCACTGCTCTTCGGAGGACCCCTGGAATCGAGCCCCAGTTGCACACAGCAGCCATTTTTACACCTTCTCCGAGATTTCTGCCCATCTCTCTCACTTCGTGCTCTCCAGATCCCATTCCAAATAAACTTCTACACCAAGTCCTGGGCTTGTACTCTGCTTTTATGGAGCCCCTTGAAAACTTTGGGCTTTGATTTCCTCTTCTAGAGGATGAGCTTCTCCCCTGTCTGGTGGGCTGCTGGGAAGTTGAGGGAGGTCGTGCTCACAGCATGCCCCACCCAGTCTCCATGGGCAGGTATCTGAAACCCCGATTCTCCTCCCTCCTTTTTCCTTTGCAGTTTAATATTTGAGTGAATGGTTACTTTGATTTGCTTTTGCTATAAAATATATAACAAAAAATTAAAATGTACATAAATGAACATTTAAATTACTTTGTAATACAATGTTTAATATATATGGCTTTGAATTATGCTTACCAGTGGTCACTTTAGTCTGCCTTTTTTTTTGTACTGGGAATCAAACTCAGGATCTTGTGCTTGCCAGGCAGGCTCAGCACCACTGAGCTAAATTCCAGCCCCTAGTCTGCCTTTCTTTAAATTTCCATTACTAGAAGGTGGCTTTGTACTTTAGAAGAAGGAAGCCTTTTTGTCCTTTTTCAGAGAAGCTGGTTCTCTGCTTATTAATGGCTCTCACAAGGAGAAGACCTGCTTTTTTAAAAAACAGAAGCTATAAGATCATCAGACAGTGGAAGAAGAAAGCCTTAAGCATTTGTTTGGTGCATGTTTTGACCATCCCAATGTAAAATTTATTGATCCCCCTTCCTGACAGTGTTTAAAATGTATGAGGCTGGGAGTTGCAGCCCCAGCACTGAAGATAAAAAGCCACCTGTATTTCCTTAGCTGGGCGTGATAGCACATACCTATAAAGCCAGCACTCTGGGAGGCCGAGGGTGATTGCAAGTTCATACCCAGCCTGCACAACATAGCAATTTAACAAGACCCTACTTCAAAATAAATAATAATTTAAGAAAAGGTCTGGCTGTAGCTTGGTGTAAAGGCCTTATATTCAATCCCAAGTACCAAAAGAAAGAAAGGGGTGTGTGTGGGGGGGGGGGGCGGGGGGTTGTTGAGGCCCTGAGAACAAGCTACAGTGAACTCAAGGCATTTGGTCTATCTAGGGTTTTGGTCAAACATCCAGACATTTCTGTTGCTTAGCTTTAGTCTCTTGATTAGGTTAGAGTGGGAAAAAGATCTGTCTCTGTATCTCTGACTGAAAGAAATGTTAGTCACAGTAATAGGTTCCAAAGAGGCAGGAAAGTGGCTGTGGGTTGCTGTTCAGGCTCTGTTTTTCTAGAAAAGAAGTATCCTGTTGGTGTTTGAGATTCCTTGGTCTGTGTAATGTTTAATGAAATGTATCTCAGACTTCACAGTGCTGGCCCAGAGCCTTACCTGAAGAGTTTAGGAAAATGTGAATGCCTGGGTCCTACTGTGAGCGCGCCCTCTTCAGGCAGTTTGGGGTAGTGCAGGCTCTGCCTCTCTCCAGCCTAGGTGGCTGACTGGCACTGAATAACCCTGGGTGGGCTCTGCCTGTTTACACTGCTCCCTGGGCACTGCTCAGCAACATGTGAGCCTGAACTTGAGCAATCTGTTCGCTGTTTCGGGAGCCCTGCTCTGCTGAGGTTTTGAGGATTGAAGGAGGTGTCAGGTTCTCACCACCACCGTCCTTCCAGGTGCTCAGAGCACAGCCCCTCAGCACCAGCTCAGGGGACCCTGCACCACCCAGAAGAGGAGCACGCTGAGAAGTGAAGAGCTCCCATCAGTCACTGGCCTCCCCCTCCAGCATCTGTGGTCCCTGAGGAGCAGGACACATGGGAACACACCTCTTTCAGTGCTGAGTTCCTTTGCCTCCTGAGACATGAATGGCCATTTCATTCTTGCCTCCAAGGGTTGGATTTCTGTTCTGGTTATCCATAGTAACGAGAGGAAATGTCCTTGGGCTATATTTGACTTGAGCGGAAATATCATTTGTGAAGACTTTTTATAGACAAAATTAATTTTACCACTGGAATTTCCCAAAGAGGCCAGTGTTACTTTAGAGCCAACAAGGCTACCATTGAAGGAATTGGCCGGACCAAAGCTGTTTATACTGGGATCCTATTAATGCTGCTTTTGTGATTTATGTATGAAAATCCCTTTTCTAGTGTTTGCATCTTTTGAATGGTTCCAGCAGCTTCTAGGAAAGTCTCACTGGGCATAGAGCTTCTGAGCAAGTCTTTGTGGTCACACTGGACTTCTTGTGGCGTTGATGTGTTCTCCGGCCATAAACAGCCAGGTTAGGATGGAGGTTGACAAAATAGACCCAAGTTCCCGCTCCACCTAGGTAGTGTGAATCCTGCAAATGCTTTTCTCTTTTTATGGTATCAGGACCTTGCGCTTTTGAGGCAGGCAGTGGCACCACTGAGCTAAGTCCCCAGCCCAGTCCTGCAAATGCTTACAAGATGGTGAAAGTAATTGTTGCCTGAGATTCTTTTTGAGCCCCCACCCCCTTGAATCCCTGTCTCTTTAAATTGATGTCTGGGTGGTACAGAGTCTGAAGCAACCAGCAGCCACTTAGAGTTAAATTTGCTCTCTGGGATGAATGGCTGTGGGAATGTGTGTGTCCATTGTATAGCTTTTTACCAGTGGAAAGAATTACAGAGCTGGCTTGCTGTGGCAAACCCGCTCATGTCCTATTTGTGAGAGCAAAAGCATTTTGGCTT